GTTGCTCTATGTGACTTGCTGTTGTTTTGCTGACTTTCGCTGCCTCTCGCGGTCCATTTGCAGACTTTTTGTGGACTTTTTAAAAACTTCGTGATCCCTCGCGAAATAGCGAGGGATCACTGCGAAATAGCGAGGGATCACTGTACTTTCAAGCTACTGTGATGAATAAGTACCTGCATTTGGGCAAAGTATTGAAGTCAGTGCATGAATAATTTCGATGCTAAACACAAGTGATTGTAGAACAGAAGTAGGCCATTTGCAGTCGTCGTGGTTACGAGAGAGACCACTGTTTTCTTGATGACATGGCAGAATGTAAGACAAAGCCGCCTTTAAATGTTAAAATGGATGTTACTGGCTCATTAATGCACCTATAACATTCAAAAATTGTACAGGTCAGATGAATGCTGGATGAATAACGATCAGCCAGACTAAAGAAAAAAAAACAAACCAATGTGCAGACAGCTAAAATAGGCCTATTGATTTTTGATCCTGCCATCGTACATTAGCGAAAGTATAACTGTCGGGGTACTGAAGTTACCCAGGGTGAACTTGCTGTTGATTTTCTTGGTGCCTGTACGCCTATTTGGACCATTAAGGTAGAAATACGTGTTGGGTGAAAGTCTCCTATCAGCATTGGGCACATGTCAAACAAACTTGAGGCTTACTCTGCTTCCTCTAACTTGCTGGCTCCAGTCTTCTCTCTGCAACTTTCTGCGGTCTTTGGCTTTTTTTGTGTGTGTGTGTGTGTGTGTGTGTGTGTGTGTGTGTGTGTGTGTGTGTGTGTGTGTGTGTGTGTGTGTGTTTTTTGTGAATTACAGAAGCGATGGTCTATAATCTTTTGAACACATGTTGAATAACTATTTTGTCTGACTCACTGAGTATGACACACATCATTACTTCTGTAAATGTTATTGCGGATATGTCGTCCAGTGTGTGATGTATACACTATACAGCAGATTTGGATAATGACTGAATCAGTGTCTTGTTGGGATCATAACATTTGGCTCAACGTGACACATCTTAGTTCACCAACAGTTACTTCTGTCCGCATTCTCGTCATCACCAAACCGTTTTGGATGTGGCATGTGGTATTTTTGGTGAATTAGCTGGTCCTTTTGTTCAATGCTCTCTTCCAATCATTAAAAAGAAAAAAATGATTGTACTTCTTGACCAAAGGTCGATGTTTCCGGACAGCCCAAAGAAGTCAAAAGGAGTGAAATTCATTCTTTTTTTTTAATTTTTTTAACTTCCAATCATTTTTGGCTTTCGGCACCATTGTTAAAACAACTTGAGAGATATACGCCAGGGCTAGCAATATTGTTGATCACTGATGAAGGTGAGAAACTTGAGTAGTTGTCCGGAGGGTTAAATTATGGCTGTCTACAACCTTGCAACCGTTATTTTATAGCTTCAGATTACTTTTATAGCTCTGCATTTCTGGCGAGTGGCTCTTTTAAGAACACAATGTGAAAGTATCCTGCTCGTCTTGCAGTATTGTAAACCCTAAGGCTGGGTTGGATGTTGCCCGAGGTGTTGGCAGCCACGTTTGAGGTCACCATGGACGCAGGGGGATGGGATGGGTAAAAATAAATGCTGTGGATGCCTGGCGAGATCTTTAAACTGTCAAAATAGGTGCCAAGGCCGTCACGGTGCTCGCGTATGAGGAACCTAGTCAGCTATAGTAAAACGGGGTGCACGAAACTAAAACAGCTTGGAAGTATGTAGTGTGATGGGAAGCGTGTGTATTCCCTGGCATCGTACACGCGTCACCTACAAGTCTTCTCTGCCATGTGTTTAATTTACCGACAACCCCCGCCGTGGCATACGCGTAATCATGATTGAGTGAGTGAGTGAATTGCCGACAAAAAAACCTGATATTATCTGTGTCAGCGCAAAAGGGCCATATGTATACTGCCTGACTCAAAAACGAGTCGAGAGTCAGTCGAGAGTCAGCGGGGCCCTTCATTCGACTTTGCCAACAGATGTGCTCCAAAGCAGCCCGGCGCCCGCGTTTCATCTGTGGAATGCCTTGACAGAATGTGAAAAATTGTAGCTGCATCATAAGAACATGATTGTTCAGGAAAAACAAAACAAAAAACACAGTCGTTGTAAACCGCGGGCTAAGACGTAGTATGCCAGAGCCTCCGGGACTCTGTACTCCCCATGACCGATCATGAATACCACGATGGATCATGAGAAACCTTAGCAAGACTTGAGTACTGAGGAAAAAAAAATGGCCAAATCTCAGAGGTTCCAGATTATGGGGCCGCTGCAGCAATATTACAGACTTCTCAAGTCGTGAGAAACTAAAAATGATTGTTGTTGTTGACAGCCGTGGTTTTTTGTTTTTGTTTTGCGATTATCGCAAACACAACTTGAGAAGCTTCTCATACAGTGGTTCTTAACCTTGTTAGAGGTACCGAATCCAAACAGTTCATATGCACATTCACCGAACCCTTCATTAGTCTAAAAACAAAATGTGATTTTTTTTTTTTTTTTTTTTTTTTTTTTTACAGATTCAACACATAAAAAAAGGCATTTATTAAAAACTGAAAAAAAGTAAACACAATTAGTATAAGTATAAAGTATACGTTATTTAATTGTGCACAAAATGAGCCAGTCAGTGATGGCCAAGTGGGCGTGTCATAACTAATTGACATGTTGACTCGGGTGTGTCTTAACCTCCATGGCAGAGGCTCCGTCGAAACCCTGAGACCGATTGATCGAACCCCGAGGGTTCGATCGAACCCGGGTTAAGAACCACTAATCTAGTAGAAAACACTGTGGACTACCAGGCTCTACACAGTACAACCTTTCATTTATGAATTTCAAGTTGAACAATGTTTCCCTTGCACAAGGGGTGTCAAAATCAATTGATTCATCGACAACTAATCGATGATCAAATCAATCGACTACTATTTAACAATCAAGTAATCATTTAGAGCAAGGGTGTCAAACTCATTTTTGTCGCGGGCCACATTGTAGTTACGGTTTTCCATTGGAGGGCCGTTATGAATTTGGGGAAACCATATAAATGTTTAATCCCCTCCACATATTACATACACGTCACACAACAAATTGATGAATAACTAGTTTTAAAATTAGAAGTCAAGAATAATGACTGTTATTGTGGATTACATATGACAATTTGAAATTTTGGTTCAGACTTTAGCAAGCATCATGGAACTTGACATGCTTGATTTGCTTTTGCAGGCCACATAAAATGATGTGGCGGACCAGATCTGGCCCCCGGACCTTGACTTTGACACCTGTGGTTTAGAGTCATTGTTTAACTTCGAATTGTCCAAATCGTTTGATCTCATGCTCTAAAGAGTATTTTCTTCTTTGATTTCTGTCATCCTTCATGAAAGCTAAATAAATAACAAACAATAATTGGTTAGTAAACGGAGTTGGCAGTGATGGTTTAGTAATAACTTGAATGCAAAATAAAGTTGTATCCGATTAAACAATGGAATAATTGATTCAGAAACAACACTCAACAGCCCTACATTGCACTACGTGGCGCCACAACCACAATGATAAATATGAATCAAAGAGAATGGTTAGCAAAACAGCCTTATCTTCGTATAGGGACGTTCTTTTGTTTGGGTTTTTTTCCCTTCCAGTACGGCACTGATGGTATTTGTGCACATGTCCCTGATGTTTTATCTGGGGAGTGAATGTGGATCTTAAAATAGGGGATAGGGAAGGACTTTTTTCTGTGACTATTTGTGTCATTCTCAGTTTGAGTTAGGAGTTACATTTTGCGTCAGAGCGGTTGCTGTCCTCAAGTGGAATATGTATTCTTGTACAGCGAGGAAATTCCAACCATATCATGGGTAGATTAAGTACAGCACAGATATCTTCCTTCCCCCCTTGTGTCATCAAGTGCGTTGGGGTGTGCCTCAGCTCTCTTTCAGCAGTAATCGCCACTCGGGTACTTCCTGCGTGTTGTTTTTAGGTCCTAATGATGTCAGAGTACCACAGAGGAAATGTTGAGATCATGACTTTCGCCCCCCCCCCAGAACATTCACTTTGTGTTGTGCCGATGGATAATTGACTGCTTCCATGTTTAAACCCCACATTGTCACTTTGGCTGCATTCACGTCAGTAACATCACCGCAAAGGGGCGTAGCATACTTGATGACTTTATAATGCAAATTTACAGTCCTGGACAGAGCCTGCAACAGAGGCTCTCAAAAAGTCTTGACCTTTATTTTTGTTTTTTGTTTGTTTTCTTTTTTAAATAAGACATTTACAACCATCTGCTTTTACCTCCAAAGTAATGACCAACGTTTTTGCAGATTTCCTGACAGCTTAGGGGCCAAATCAGTTAGATAATCATAATTAATTTGTTTATGCATTTTCTGAATAGTCAATTTGATTTTTTAATTTTTTTTAATGGGATAAAGTGCTGGAATTTAAAAGATGTTTTTTTTTCTGAATCGGATTTATTGACAGTTCAATTACTTTTAAAATATTCGTTTCTTGCAGTCCTAATATTAACAAAATTAAAGTAATAATATACAATGGTGCTTTGAATGAAGGGTTTATTTCCATACATAACATGTATTGAAGTCAAAACATTCAGTTCGAATCATGCTTCCCCACTGAAATAAATGCAAATGCCATTAATCCGTTCCAGTCCAATCATTTTTGGCCTTTTGTTCTGTGCACCACGGTTTAGCAGAGCCATACAGACACACACCAAGAAAAGTTTCACAACAAATTGATTTAGTAAGCTGCATTAATATTAGTCGTTTCATGCAGAGAATAAAGATTGTATGTCTCTGAGTATTGCTTTATTGTCTGTCTACATGTGTTGATGCACTGTCTGTGTTCAAATAACTTTTGCTGATAGGGTGGACCACTGCGGCATGAATCCTATTCACTTGTCCAGGGGTCGGCAACCCGTCTATTTGTGTTTCCATCAAAGCTGTATTCACAGCAAGTTGATGGATATGTTGAGCGATATGTCTTATGTGTTTTGTGCTTTGCAGCAAGAGAAGCCCAAGCTGATTGATCCACTCGACTATGAGGCTGTCATCTCGGAACTGGGAGCGGAGCTCAAGCAGGACCCTCTTAGAGAGCTGCTGCTGTTTCCTGACAATGATTTCACAGTAAGTGTATGTGCATTTGCGTGCGTGCGGCTAATGCAGTCAGAGTAGAAGATCTTGGCTCTATCAGATCATAGTGTAGCTTTCAGAGGATAAGATTGGGAATTCCCTCATACAATACGCTGGCCTTTTGCCAGCCAGCACTCGCTTGGAGAGAGTGGAAATATGCTTGACAGTGATGCCGGTAACACAATACTTGATAATGGCTGCCATTTCGAGTAAGTGGTAATGTAACGCGTTAATGTGTCTTATATAGTCGGCTGATGAAAGTTGCTATTCAAGGAATAAATGCATTTCTTCAAAGTTGGCAAAATGTACAACTGTACAGTGTCTAGATCCCAGCAGACAATTACCACGTGGCCGCAGAAGCGAGTAACATAAGACATTGATCAACACGCCAAATCCAGCTGCGGTCTGGTACATGTATTGTTTGACATTGACAGGGATAACTTTGGCAACACAGTTTACGTCGAAGGCCTCGTATGCAAGGAAGCAGTTAAATAAGTGCACCTTATCAGTATTTACAATCACTCGACTGTGATTTAATTTCTGATTTTCTTCTGGTGCATTCTGCTGCTGAATCTAAATTTGAAGAATGCTCCAGCGAAAGACAGACAGCTTTGCGCATCCTTTTCAAGAAGCTGTTGCCATGGTGATGCATCTCTTTACTCTCCTCATCCCTGCAGGTATCCACAGTGCCCCAAGAGAGACGCACTCTCAGGTCAGCTGTTCCTGAGGGCGCAGAGCTCCAGGCTGAGTGTCTGCTGGTCAGACAGGTCAGATGCACTCCTGACGCATGTGTGTTTGTGCTGCTATATTTTAAGGAGGGGCAGGTGAGGGGGGCGGGGGGGCGTCTTATTCCACATGAGTCTGAATAATTCATCACATTCAAATTTCATAGAGACATTTTTGACAATTACATTTACCCAAAGGTGCACATTTGCCTACGAATGGTACAAATTGGAATTGTCCCGATATGTACCCTGCTTAAGGCGTACCCTTGAGAATTCTGTCTCAGTCTCAACCTATCAAAGCCGTTTTTTTTTTCTGACACTGTGTATGAGGCAGGGTTCGAGAGGCAATACACTGTACATATATATCAGCTGCATCAGGTCAACCAAAGTCCGATGACTTCTACTTCATCTTCATCCTCTTCACCAGGCCTGCAAGTATTACAACTCGGATCTGAACGTAGTCCAGTTCAAGTATGACGACTACGCTGGAGACTACCGCCTGCTGCCAAGGTATTGTGAATATGAACCTGACATACCGTGAGGCAGTGAAGGAGAACAAGAGGGCGGTGGGCGTTGAGTGCAAAAAAAAAAAAGTCACCGAGGGGAAGGACAAAGCAATGTTTCATGGGTATGAGGCTGTTGCTTCTCAGATGGGACTGATCCAAAACAGTCCAGCAATTCAAACCACAGGAATGTCCTCTTTCTATCCCATGGGTCTCGGTTGCCAGTGTCAGTTCACATGACCTCTGACCTGACCGGAAGTGGATTTAAAGCAGAATAAGACAGATGTTAATGCATTTAGTTAGTTATGCCCAGACTCAAAGCCATGATTTGACTTTGGTGAAGAAAAAAAAAAACACTCATGGCTTTATATTAAAAAAACAAACAAAAAAAAAAACAGATGGGGATGTAACCAGAGTGTCTGCAAACAATTGGACTTTCCTAAATTAGGCCTTCAGACAGTCTAGTTTTAAAAATGCACTGGATACCTGAATAAAAAGTCTTAAAAATTCATTATTTTCGAACTTTCTCAATCCGGAGAATTTATTTCTTGAATAATTTAACTCAGTCTTTAATTTTGTCAAGTCAACGTGAGGGAGATTTAGGTGGGGGGGTATGAGACGATGCTGTGTATTGATGGCACATATGAAGCCGTCATAGAACGGTTCTCCTCCCTCCAAAAGTAAGACGACAAGCGTTTAGGGTTTAACTATGAATCGAACATCTTTGATTTTGGGGCTGCCATCTTTGAATTTTGCGTGACGAGCGGTATTTTTGCAAAAAAGTGGGATTTGAAGAAGAAACCGTATGTACTAAATTTCATGCTTGTGCCTCCATTTGACGGACTCTTTCACTGGTCTGCCCCTCTCTTAAATTTTCTTTGTTTTTTAGAATTGCATCCATAAAACGGCGGGCGCATGATTATTGCATGTCTGCGTCATACTTCTGAAGCTTGGGGTTCAAATCTTGGCACCGTGTGCATACCTTGTTGGTGCTTGCTATTTTTTTCTTCTATCTTACTCCCACATTGAAGACGTAGCAAAACTCTCACTAGCCATATGATAAGGTGCCCACCTTTTGTATACATCGTCAATCGCCTTCACCCTGTCAATGTTCCATAACGTTACTATCCGGTGGCCTAAAACAAACTTTGTATCGACAAAAAACAAGCTTGGATAGAAAAAAAATATACACTTGGGTTTGCGTAAACCATAGCATTGAGTTAAACACTCGATATCCTTCGAGCGAAGTGAATTGGAGGGTTGGACAGCTGGAATATGCAGCTACTGTATGCATGCGGTGGTGACTGCTAAGTTTTGACTGCAGCAATGTCCGTCTGCCAATCGGGAAGCATTCCTGCGTCAGTCCGCAATCACCACAAATGCTCCTACTGCGGCGGTTATTTTCGACCGCTTTTACAACCGCGCGACCTTTAGCAAAAGCGTCTTTCTGGCGACGGAATCGTGAGCTCGACATTTCATCGGCGCACACAAAGCAAACCAACAGAGAGGAGCTTGTCTATCGTTGTGGGGCCAGAGATACGTTGAAGAATCATCTCCCTTGCATACTTTTATCATCGCAATTCTACATCCTCTTCAATATCGTCTCCTTTCCCCCCCTCTTCTAGGAAATTATACAAAGCTGAGAAGCTGCCGTCCCATTCTTTTGAGATTGACTATGAGGACGTGGACAAGGATGAGGTCGGTAATGGTCTTTTCAAACGCGAACGCATTAACGTGCTGGAAACATCCTGGCGTCATGTTGCTCAAATGAGTTTATCCCGAAGCCATCAAGCTGTTAAAATATTCGCCCACCAAGTGGGCGCAATCCTTGTTTACGTACATCGTTTGACAAATGGTCCCGTCGAGGATGTCTCCTGTTCTTCTATTGATCTCCAGGACGAGAGGATGTACTTTGTGTGTGTGCGCGGCCGCGTTTGTCTTTTGCAGGACACCACTTCCCTGTCCTCGTCCAAAGGAGGAGGGGGAGGCGGGGGAGGAGGAGGGGGAGGAATCGGTGTCTTTCGCTCAGGCTGGCTCTACAAGGGCAACTTTAACAGCACCGTCAACAATAGCATCACTGTCCGGGTGAGGACACACACACTTGGCATGCACTTGGACTTCATCTTTTTGTTGTCATGCATTGTTCAAACAGCCCTTGCAGTATGCCGTGTTCAAATTCACAAACGTAGAAGTCAATTCAAATGGATTTGTACAGACTTTAGCAGTGAGTGAATGAGGCACAGACAATATATCAAAGACCGGGAGCCCTCAGTGCATCAAATAATCTTGTCAATAAAGTGACATCAAAGTCAACAAACAGTAAGTTTGGAGAAATTAGTGGTTCACACAGCGTGACACTTTTGGTTTTGGGGTGGAGAGAAAAGCTTCTCTTGACCCTGACGAAGTTCTTATTGCAAGTGAAAGTACTGAGGAGCTGCATTTTTGTCCGTATGTTAGCGTCCTCGTCTATGCTAATCCATTACGACTGGACAATGGGAGTCAACCATTTGCAATTCGTAGTGGGCGGTTGCAATGGTTCCTTTGCATACCTCTCTAACAGTGTCAATCAAAACTAAGCATGATTATTGTGGTCGAATCAGACTGTTTACTATGTGTCAGACTGTCAAATCGAATGACTTAATATGTGTCGTAACCCTGCAAATAGCAAAAAAATGGAAGGTCATTGATACGCTCCTGAAAAACTTTAGTTTTGCCTATTTTAATAAATCTACCTCAAACTACAATCTAAAATATCATTTCACATTGCAACATTACCTTTAATACTAAATGGCTTTTAATAATAATAAATGGCCTTTTCACACTGCACTTAGCAGGCAGTGGTGATGGTTGGGCACTACGGAATGGAGTGTTGCTGGGCGGTGGGAAGTGGGGGCGTATGCCGAGATGGCAGTTGCCTCAAAATTAAAATGTTTGAGAGCGGCGTCGCTGCTTCCAATTGAAGACGAGCTAGCGGAGTGATTTAGTGACTTATATCCAGGTCACGGCGAGAGGACAATAGAGGAAACCTTAAATATATGTGTTGTCTCAGTGTCCCGAGCTTTAGGGTCAAACGAGAGACGACATACAATGCCGAGGTTTAGAAGAAACTGTTCCCTGCTCAGCCTGAACGATACCTCAAATCTGTCTTGGTCGAACTGCAGCTCACAAATGAGATTAAACAGCCCAACTTCCTACAAAGCCATTAGGTCAGGATGCACCCATTCCATTTTGTGCCGCTTGTTTCCTCCTCCTCCTTTTTAAAAACAAACACACCCACGGCTTTCTTTAGTAACAATGACAGATAGATCTCGGTGAGGTACAGCCTACTTCTCGTCGAAACCAGTGGCAAAAGTCTCTGTCCTTACTTCCTGGTAGCCTGCGATGTCAGCACTTTCAAATATGGCCACGTTGGCAACCGGACCGCTGTCGTTTTTCTACCCTGCCACGTAACCCTTTCACTCTGAGCGAGTGCAGTGTGAAAAGGGCTTTGCAGACTTTTTGGATGGGGAGGTGGGGGGGCGGGGCTGCAGTGGAAGTGTTTTTAACGATTTCTTTACAACCCTTAAAAACAGAAATTGTCAAGCAAGAACAAGACCTCCTTGGACTGTTAGCATGAGCCTTTTAAAATCCACTGAGCAGGTCAAAAACAATTTCAGCTAACCTCACGCTGGCTAAACTGAGCAGTTCCTCCCCTTAGTCTCTCAGTCGAAATCGCTTCAACATACTTCCTTGATACAGATTAATAAAACAAAAATAGGCAGGGAGCTACATTTTATAAATTAATTTAGAAATAAATTTTCCGAGCGGTAGCATGAAGAAATGAATTTACGCTTGATAAATCCTGAATCGCGTATAGGCGGAGGTTCGCCATAGTTTGGATTTTAGTCCATCAGTCATGTCCTGTATTGAAATTTCTCGTCATTGCACAGTCCTTCAAGAGGAGATATTTCCAGCTGACCCAGCTGACAGACAACTCCTACATCATGAATTTCTACAAAGACGAGAAGATATCCAAGGAACCCAAAGGCTGCATCTTTCTCGACTCGTGTACCGGCGTTGTGCAGGTACGTTCCAAACCTTGCGAATTGGAGCTATCGTGTGATACGCATTTTGAATGACGTTGAATATTGAATGTTCTCCATAGAATAACCGGTTGAGGAAGCACGCCTTTGAGCTGAAGATGAACGAGGTCACATACTTCGTGCTGGCCGCGGAGACTGAGCAGGACATGGAGGAGTGGATCAGCACCTTGACGCGCATCTTGCAGATCACACCGCACGATGGGCCGGCTCCGGACCGCAAGAGTCTGGACCTGTCCGACCATCGCCAGGGTGAGAGTTATAAAACACTGATGTCAGCAACTCTCATGAGTCAGGGGTCTTTTAGCCTGTCAATGAAGTTGTGAGCATGCATCATGATTTTTCGGCATGAAAGAAATTCTGCATGCCCACAAAGATTACAATGCAGAAGACATTTGACTGCTTTATAGTCCACGAATGCCACATTCAGAGTCATATTTAATTCTGAATCTGATCTATGTGTGACTATTTCTGACAAGTGTGCTGCTGAAGCTGTTCTACAGAATTAAAATGCTTCATGACGCTGCGTTTGTTTATTCCTCCAGATGTGTTTGACACGTCACTGAGTGATGGCTGTTTGCAGGAGAACGAAGATACTACAGAAAACGGCATCAATCCCGAGCTAGCTAAGGTTGATTTATTTATTTGATTTATTTATTTTTATCCCGAACAATATCGCCTCTTGTTGTTTCTATTATTCCCCCAAAAATGACGTTTATGGGGCTAGAATTAGAAACCTGAATGGATAACTGTGGAGGAATTTTAGAGCTGCTACTGCATATAACTTTTGTGTTGATGCTATAATCCATCCATCCATCCATTTTCCGATCCGCTTTATCCTCACAAGGGTCGCGGGCGTTGCTGGAGCCTATCCCAGCTGTCTTCGGGCAGTAGGCGGGGGACACCCTGAACCGGTTGCCAGCCATTCACAGGGCACACAGAGACGAACAACCAACCACACACAATCACACCTAGGGACAATTTAGAGTGTTCAATCAGCCTGCCGTGCATGTTTTTGCAATATGGGAGGAAACCGGAGTAAGCATGACAAATTGCAGCACTAAAAATCCCCAAATGATTGCTTGAATCTCACCTAATTGCGTCGTTCGTGAAATTCTCATAATTGTTTCTTTTCTCAAAAAAAATTGCTCTCTCTGAAATTGAACGCTCACCATTCCGATTTTAGAAGCGCCTGTCTATTTCGAGCGTATACAAGCCACGCGGTTTTTGGTTTTCTGTCATATCATTATCGTATGTCATCTCCTTTTGTGCAGTATATCTCTGAGACGGATGAGGGAATTCGTTGTGCCCGGAGGGAGGAGAGGTTGAATCTCTTCTCGCTTGACCCTGACACCCCTGTATGTATAACTTTACCTGTGCTATTTATGTAATCCCATTATTAACAATATCTTGATGCGTTGCACATGCATGCCTTCCTTATTTCCTAAGACATTAGATACACCTACACAATGAGATATTTGGAAGTTGTGACACACCGTCTTACACTAAACAATGGATTTTAGGTGTACCTATTGTAACGGCCAGTAAGCCTTCCACCATCTGTCAACCGCAGGTCCTGAGGAGCCCGCGAATGGAGCATTCATCGAGTGAAAACTGCACAGTACGTCCTTTTGAGGAGAAACTAGGCAGAAGGTTCATGGTGACATGCCGATCGCTGAACTTCATGCTGCAGGGCTGCATCAGTGAGAATGAAACGGGACCTGTCACAAATGTAAGAGATTGGAGCTCTTTACAGTAGTAGTACACCCTGAAATGGCTGCCAGCCAATCACAGGGCACACAGAGACAAACAACCATCCGCACCCACAATCACACCGAGGAACAGTTTCGACCTTTCTTTTCTTATTTCTACATTCCATAATATGACTAAAATGATTTTTTTTTTGTTGTGGTTCTGCTCGATCCACCAGATCGAGCCGTTCTTCGTGTCGTTATCGTTATTGGACATTCGAGAGGGCAGGAAGGTTTCTGCTGACTTCCATGTGGACCTCAACCACGACGCAGTGCGTCAGATGCTCGGAGGAAGTGCTTCCGGAGCTCAGGAGAATGGTGTGTGCGCTCCCGCCGAGAAGAAGTCAGTTGAAAGCCATCCGAGCCTGGAGCTGGAACAGTGGCTGTGCTTTCCCAAACAGGTATTAAACAGACTGTGGCTGTGTTCATTGATAAACAGGCTTTAACGACATGTCATTGTAGGCGATATTCTCCGTGACCAACCCCCACACGGATATCGTGATGGTGGCCAGAGTAGAGAAGGTGCTGATGGGAAATATTGCATGTGGGACCGAGCCGTACATCAAAAACACAGACTCCAGCAAGGTAAGAAAGTGCTTTTTTTTTAACGCATTATTTTCAGTTTTTTATGAAATTGTTGTCAGGTGTTTTTTTTTTTGGGGGGGGGGGTTGTTTTTTGTCAACCACATTTCGATGCCTATTTTTTGCATGAAGGTCCAATCTCATACTTTTGTCTTGGCCATAACACATCTGTATATACTCCCAGGCGTGGGATTCCCATTAACATACAAATTCCATTATTTTGTCTGGACAAAAGTATTGTGACAAGTGTAGCAATTGTGAATGGGAGGAAATAGTCCTCGAGAAGTTCCATTTTTATGGAAGGACTTTCTACAAAATGTTGGAGTGTGACTTTGGGAATATTAAAAGAAAATTTGTGAGTGAAGCCCTGCTGACCCTACATTTTGATTGCAGTGATTTTTAATGGGGTTAAGGTCTTCTCCACCTAATTCATCCAAGCATGCCTTTATATGGCGCTCGCCTTGAGCACCGGGACGCAGTCATACAGAATTTTAGGCCTCTTTTCAAATCGGAAGCACAGAATTGTACAAGGGGGTGTAGTAAAAGCCTTCATTGGATTATTTCATTGCTTTCCGATGGTTTTCCGATACTCTGATCCATATATCAGCTCGACCTTCTTCATATTTTCTTTTGTGTCCATCATGTCTACAGATTGTCCAGAAGATTTTAAAATCCAACAAGCAGTTCTGCAGTAAACTAGGAAAGTACCGAATGCCATTTGCTTGGTCCGTCAGGTCAGTAGCAGACAAAAGCACTTGATATTTGTCTGTACAGTGGTGCCTTGTCTCAGTCCTACCTGTTTTCGGTTGCGAGTAAAAATATTAGTTTACCGGGAGCGAATGACACAACAAAAAGCAGAAAGTGAACAGTTGTTCAAAAAAAAAAACCTTTATCCTCTGCAAACAACTACAGCGGACCCACACTATTGGTGGGGGATTTGAGGGCCCGCAAATAGCAAAAAGCATATACGAATGTGAATCCACAGGTCCGAAACCAAGAGTATGCGCAGGTCCAGTTCACTTAAAATTACTGTTACATAGAGAGTCACTTATTTATTAAACTCTTCTTTGTTGTATTATTCATGTTTGTATTACACTACCCCCTGGTGGCCAAGGCGTGCACACCAGAAATCACAGAATGTTAATGGCCACTGAAGCATGAAATCACAATTTAAATATGTATAATGTAATGTGTTATTAATTTATTTAAAAATGGGAATGTTGATTTTAGAGACATGGCCACAAAACGAACTTAACCCGTTACTTCAGGCACCAATGTACTTGGTAACTGGCCTTATTCTGATTAAACTTCGTCGATGTATGTACAACAATGTATCGTCGATCTATGTACAACAGATCACTTTTCAAGGACAGCCAGGGGGCACTCGACCGAGAGTCTCGATTCTCGCCGCTCTTTAAACAAGAGAGCAACAAGATCTCTACAGAAGATCTGATTAAACTTGTGTCAGAGTACAGGAGGTAAGACTTAACCATCACAGTCGGTCTTCTCCAAGACAACGTAAGTTTTGACACCATCTTCATCCGATCAGGGCTGAAAAGACCAGCAAGCTTCAGACCATTCCCGGGACTCTGGACATCACAGTGGACTATGTGCCTCTGGAGCTTCCGAGTATGCTTGACTACTTCAGAACTCTCTTGTGTAGCACCATATCCTCACGAGTCGTATTTGTGCTTCTAGATTGCGTGACGTCCTCTTACATCCCCGTGAAGCCCTTTGAGGATCTCGGCAAACAGCAACCTACAGTCGAAGTGGAGGAGTTCATCCAGGACACAACCAAGTTCACTCAGCCATACCACGTCTACAGGAACCACATCTACGTTTACCCCAAGCATCTCAAATACGACAGCCAGAAGAGCTTCGCCAAGGTAAAGCAGACGTCATCACGGTAACATTTGAAGAGTTGTATTTTCCACTGGAAGTCTCTCGCCTATTTTGTTTGGTTCCATCAAGGTGCTGACTGGTCTTCTGCCAAACAGCTTCTTCGCCCATTATTAACGTCACAATGCTCTTCCTCTGCTACAGGCTCGTAATCTTGCCGTCTATGTGGAGTTCCGTAGCTCAGACGAAGAGCCCGGCAAACCTTTAAAGGTAACGCGTTCTCCAAAACAAGTACTGCACACGTTTTTTTTTCTTTGTCGTTAAAAGACAGCTGAGAATTGTTTTATTGGTCTGTCCAGTGCATTTATGGCAAACCGGGTGGTCCGGTGTTCACCACAGCAGCCTGTTCCACTGTCTTGCATCACTCTCAAAACCCTGACTTCTATGATGAGGTAGGCTCATGAAAAGAGAAAAACGATTCCATTTTCAGCAAGAACACACAACATTTGTTTCATCTCTGCCAACACAGGTGAAGATGGAGCTCCCGACCCAACTTCACGAAAAGCACCATTTGCTTTTCTCGTTTTACCATGTCACATGTGACATCAACGCTAAAACGAACGCCAAGAGAAAAGAAGCCCTGGAGACCCCCGGTGAGCTTCGTTAGCACGTAGCGGATCAAGTTGTTGTTTTATTCGAATGCATCATGTTTTGTGTTTGTGACTCTTTAGTGGGCTACTCTTGGCTGCCTCTCCTCAAAGAAGGTCGTCTGTCATCTCAGGAGTTCAACATCTCGGTCTCCAGTAACCTGCCCCCTGGTTACCTGGCCATCAAAGAGGCCAACAACACCAAGGTACGAGGCTGAACATGAATGAACATTTGAATATTGGCAAACCAATATGTACGTGTTCATAAACCCATTTCCTCACCAGGCCTTGCCAAAACGTAAAAAGTCAGTATCGAGGCTTGTTCGAATGATTTCAGTATGATAAATGCGTGTGGAGTGTGGTATGGCGATCCAACGTCACGAGGTGACGTGCGGAAGCAGTGTGGTGTTGAGAAGATGGATAAATACCGCCAGTTAACTCGACCACAGGCATTTGTCAAATCAAAAAAAGATGACCAAGTGCCATCGTCATCCTTGACGAACATGCCAACGCACACACGCAGGAACATTTTCCATCCTGAGCGCACATACATTGTCGGCAATCCATATCCGTGCATCCGTAAAGCTTTGAACTTGAGTGATCCCCCTTACTATGTTCTGTGTTTTCTGTCTTTACAGAGTGGAGCTGACGTCAAATGGGTTGATGGGGCGAAGGCCATCTTCAAAGTGTCAACTAATGTCGTGTCAACTGTGTACACTCAGGTTAACATTCAAATGTCTCTGTCAGATGACTGGCCCGATGATTTTAGAGCCAAACTTAACCACATATGCTTTGTTAATCTCTTCCCTTTTACATTCTGATTTTGAGTTGCGTACAAGTTTATAGTTGCTAAAAAAGAAATGAGTCCATCTTCTAACTTGGAACTGATTCTCCTGGATTCCTCTCCTCCTGGCGCCAGGACCCCCACCTGAACCGCTTCTTCCAGCAGTGCCAGAAAAGAGAGCTGGACCTCTCGCTACCTCCTACCTCCAACTTTCTGAACTGCCTGAAGGTTAGAGGAAAAAACTTCCAATCCCCTTTAGTTAAAAAAAAATAAATAAATAAAAATAAATAAGGCCAAATTGTTCCACATCTAATCAGTGAAACATTACAGCGTAAATAAAAATAAATAAGGCCAAATTGTTCCACATCTCATCAGTCAGGGTTCATTTTCCTTTCCTCCTCTGAACGGTATATGAGCTTTATTTATAATAGTATCTCTTGTTCTTGGCTCCCTCCTCCTCCTCCTCCTTATTTTCCACCCTCTTCCAGGGTCTCCTCAGCATGGAGAGAATACCGGTGATCATCAGATTTCTGCCTGTGCTTTTCAACCAGCTCTTCAAGGTCCTGACTCAAAATGACAATGATGAGGTCACTACTGCCACCACCAGGTGAACAGTGCCACTACGGGCTTCTTCTGGCGTCATTTACAGTCGCTGACACGCACCAATTTTTCAACGTCTTATTGATTTTTCGAAGTTGAGAGACCCCACACAGGAAGAGGAAACAAGTTTGTGCTTATTGTTCTTATCGTGTGTGGTGCGCTTGAGTGACTGACACAGATCATCACACACTATCGCGTCAGTCACACTCATGCATGCACACGCAATGCAATGACAAAAAAAAAAAACAGATTTGTATTTCTAGTCACATCAACAATTTGTTCATAGGCAGAATTAATTGGGTGCAATAAGTTGTGCACCATATGCTGACTGCATTTTTTTTTGTTTTAACCATAATTTTGCAAATGACGAGTCTGTGTTCAAGACAAGATTATTTGATTTATTTTTTTCAGAGTGCTGCTCCACATTGTTTCCAAGTGCCATGAGGAAAACCTTGATCACTATCTGCACTCGTATATTAAGGTATGCTTCCCACTCGCCTGTAGCATGCAGAGGATGCATTGACTGATCCTTGGAAGAGGGTGCGCTTCGCACGTGGAGATCACTTGATGATCATGATAGCTTTTCTCTCCCACAAGGCTGCGGAACGAGTTCACAGACTGTTTGATTTACACAGAAGGAAAAAAAAAAAATACACAGAGAAAAAGGGGCTTTATGTATTTGCATGTGCAATATTTGTGTGTAGGAGCTGGCAAGAGTGTGCCGGCGGCCACGCGCCCGGAGAAGTATGCAAACACGCATGCAGAGAAAGCGCAGGAAGAAGAAGAGAAGCTAATTGAGTGGGACATTGAGCCGTCTCAATGGGAAACACAAGGCCTGTTTGTTTTGAAGTGGGAGGGAAAAAAAAAAACAAAAAACAAAGAGAATTAGCGCTGCGAGCAAGAGGAACCACAAGAGCTCTTTCATGTCGGCCGCAATGTCGTAAAAATGCTGCGGAACTTGGAAGACCTTGTGGCAGAGACAAACGACTGGAGGGCTTGCAGCAGTAAATGGAAGTGGAGTTGCCATGGTAACAGATTGGCACGATATTCACTTCTCTATGTGTGTCCTCTCTGTGAAAAGAAAGGATGGAAAGGGGTGGAATTCACTGTAACGTGAATGGATTGAGCTGCTATTCATGGGGAAATGCTCTCAAATCAACGTACTGAATAACTTAAGTGTGTTCGCTCACATGTATTTGATCGTTTTTTATGATGGGTGAGCGCAATAATCAATTGATCGATTCCGATTGCGTGGGGTTGTTGATGATTTATGTCGAGAAGCATCCGTCGATTTCCTTTTCGCACGAGTGATCTGGAGCCTTTCCCAGCTGACTTTAAACAAGAGGCGCGGCGCACTCTGCAACGCTCGCCAGTCCGTCATCGACAAACAACCGTTCACATACACGCCGCCTACAGACCCTTTCGAGTCTTCCAAGGGACCCGGCTCCCTTGGAAGACTACCTGTAGAAAACACAAGCAAGAGAGAGAATGCAAAGAAAGATTAAAAAAAAAAAAATTGTGAGATAATTTTTTTCCCCTTTGATATTGCGATTTAATAGGTGATTATTATTGTGAGATCATTTTTTTTCCTTAGATATTGCAATTTAATAGGTGATTAGGTTTTCAAGGTCCTCTATTTATTATTTAACAAAAAACAAGCCATAAATTCATTCTGTATTACAAGAAACAACATCAGAATTATTTTACATACTGTAAATGTTTTGGACTGAAAGAGGGTTCATTTATCTCCTTCAATGAGTTAACTAGCGGAACACTTTGATTTGCAGTCTTTTAAGCATTCACTCCAACGTCACAAAATTCTACCACACGAGTGTGGTGTAGACATCGGTCAGGAAGTCATAAATCGGATCACGATAATGCAAACATGGCTAATGGCTTTATCATTTCAACTTTTCAAGATGTTTTATGAAGCACTGATATATAAACATGTGGACTGCACTGCGTCAGCACTGAATGTAACTAGACGCCCGATATGTATAAGTCACTAAAATACCCCGGCCCATTTTCCGTAAGCTTACTGGGCAATATTGATTTGTTTTGAAGCAAAATGTTCTTTCGCAAACATGGCTAATGGCTTTATCATTTCAACTTTTGAAGATGTTTTCTGAAGCAATGATACATAAACATGTGGACTGCACTGCGTCATCACTGAATGTAACTAGACACCCGATATATACAGTAAGTCACTAAAATACCCCAGCCCATTTTACGAAAGCTTACCGAGCAATATTGATTTGACTTTGAAGCAAAGTGTTCCTTCTCTCAAACGTTCAACTTGAATGCAAACTCGGCACCATGCCGGGATTCAAACCCAGAAAGTGTCAACTGTGAGGCAGACGTGCTGCAAACCGCTATCATTGGTGCCGCTGTCGTTCGAGCTGCAAGTGAGGCAAAACGGAGAGAACTGCTTGGCTGAAACCAAAAGAAGCAGAATTTACTGTCTCAAGTCGTTTGCTATCGAAAGAAGCTCAGATCAACCGATGGCTATGCCCTCGTTTTGATCATTCGTTTTGTGTGTGTGTGTGTGTGTGTGTGTGTGTGTGTGTGTG